TTCAAGAGTCAGAGTTCTGGGGTCAGATAAACTAGCCAGTGCTGGCCAGTCCTTGGATGGTCATAAATCAAGTGGCCCTCGGCCACACCTAGGTAAGCACTCCTCAGGAACTGTAGTGTTTATCCAAACTGTGTGACTTCTACAAAATTCTAGAAAATATAAGCTGGCTGGCTAGAGATGATGGGTCGATCCTATCTTCCATTACTGAGACAAAAAAGCCGACAAAGTAACTGAAGGACGGGTTAGTTTATCTGGTTTGCAGTTTAAGAAGAGATGCAGCACACCGCCGTGGGGAATCATGGGACACACGGGAGCATCGAGCAGCAGTGTGTCTAGAGTTAGGAAGCAGAGAGCTAACAGAGGGCCCGGCTACAGAACTTCAAACCCCCACTCCCAGTAGCCCACTTCCTCCACTGAGGCTTCCGTCTCCTTCCAAAACTGCGTCACCAGCTGGGGAGCGAGTGATCAAACCTAGGAGACACGTTTCATGTCCAAACTAGTCCAAACCACCGAAGGAAGGGTGGACTAGCAAACTGCGCGAGGGAACTCAGGAGTAACAGGAACGTGATCTTTAATCGTGATCATGGTTTTAGGGGAACTGAGATGTCAGAAATGACCCAATTAAATAAACTAGAGATAAATATTGCAAGCTTAACATATTTTAACTTATTTTCCATTCTATCTCCATAAAGCTTAAGATGGGGGAAATGTAAAATTGGAGCCTCGGGAACTGATATTGAAAATGGAATTTACAGACTCTCAAAGCTAATGGTAGAAATGCCATCCTCCCACCACACAAAGCCATGCTGGTTCTCCTCTCCCAGAATGAGGGCCCCCAGCCCAGGGGCTTGCTGTCTGATCACAGCGACCACGCTTCACCGGGGTTTGTGTCTCGAAGGCTCGTTTCTCTAAATACCACGTGACAGTGAGACAGAGAACACTCGGTTCCATGAGAGGTTCTTTCTCTTCTATTTCTGCTCAGGTTGTAGTGTACGTAGCAGAAACCTGTGGAGCACGTGAGGGAACTGTGTAGTCTACCTAACTGCCTTGTCTGGAAACTGCTGGGGTGCAGAGCTGAGGAATTGGGGTGCACCATTGTTGTCTTTCTGTCTTGGGTCTCATCCTCTCTTCCCAGCTTTATCTTGCTCTAGACAAACAAACCGTGTCACCAGAACTTGTTTTTCCTCACTGTTTTCATGAATACTCTTAACTAGAAGATTTGTATAGATATGGATGATTTTTCCAATTAAAATCATCTTCTCCGGGTATCACTTTCCTGAATTTTGTTAGAATAATATTTATAACAGTTTTCTCTGTGTGTGTGTGTGTGTGTGTGTGTGTGTGTGTGTGTGTGTGTGCGCGCGCGCGCTAATAGTAGAAGTATTAGGCAAAGCAATTAAAAGTGAGTCATTACCATAATATATGTACCCAAAGTAATAAAATACACTAAGCTAAATACTTACAGCCAATGTCAAAAATTACATGTATGACCATGTATGCATTCAGAGCTTGAGCACTCAGCTGTGAGATTACTGTGGAGCCTGGCCCTCTCAGGCTTCCCACCCTGCCTCTAGACCTCCCTCAGCTGCTGTTCCAGGCAAACCTTCCTGCTCTGAAACAGAGCAGCTTGTGCTATCAGCAGAAGAATGTGGCATTAATAGAGCAGGATCCCTATGCCTGGCCAAGCCCTGTCCCCACACAAATCAAGAGCACTCGGTGAGATAGAGATAATGCTTCCTAAGCCGCTGGGGCTCACGTGGCCAAGGTGCTGGTCATGGTGGTCGGAGAAGCTGTCACCTGGTAGCTTGGCCAGGAAAGCATAGCTAGACCCCAAATAAGCCCCTAAGAGCATCACAGTGAGGCTGCTGAATGGGCGAAGGGAACAATGATTGCCTTCTTCAGACTTTTTTCTTTCCCTTTACTAACTGCAACATTTACAAAATAGGGTCAAATTTGCAACATTGACTTTCAATATAGAGTAAGAGGCATTAAAAAAAAAACACTTTTTGGTGTTTCTGTATTGGGATTTTTCTGATGAGGAAATAGATTCCAGGCCACAGTGCTTTTCTTTTCAGATTAGGTGGGTTAGAGGCAGGAGACTGTTGAGAAACTCTGTGGTTAGTCATTCTAGAACCTTCTCTCTCCAGATCATAAGGCACAGCTGTGAGCCAAAAGGAAACTCCATCTCACTCTTACTGAGTGTAGCCTACAAGGTCCAGTTTCCATATTTGTTCAGTTGGTCCTGTCTGCTATAGAGCGGGCGTTCTCAGATATTCTTCTTAGGAAGCTTAATAATCCTGCCAGCAATTCTTAATATCAGTCACCCGTGACAAACATTTCTAAAGTGAGCCTAGAACTGTACTTTTCTTCTCCGACTTCTGCCCCAGCCCAGGAAACTGCACAAAGGACATGTCTCTAGGCTGTAGAAAGATGAATTTAAAAATAGAGAAAATAGTGAATTGTCTCTCAAGTCTATCCCACTGGCTTCAGAGACTCGTTAAGTTGGTGTGTGTGTGTGTGTGTGTGTGTGTGTGTGTGTGTGTGTGTGTGTGTGTTTAAAAGAAAGATGGTCTTTGTAATTGAGGGCATCTCTGAGCCTTAATCTGGCTGTAATCTCCTACAATTAATCCAAAAGGCAGTCTGCTCCCTTTCTTTACATTTCTTTGGCTTCGGGAGATAATCTCATTCCTGGAAGAAAACATTGTTCCTCTGCAGTTAGGAAAATGGCCAATGGATTTTTAAAACAAATTCAAATAATTTTTAAAGAAAGCATATTAGCTGGTTAACCTCTACTCATGTCCCCAAGACATCCCAGGGCGGGCTTCCAGGAACAATAGTCTGAAGAATTGTAATGGCCCACATTCTGTTTTCATTCCTCACTTAAACTCCAGCTGATCCCTCTGCCCGACTTGATGTAGCCTAGTTTCATTCCTTTTAGATTCAAAGTCTGCAGACATCTGTGTACCCTTAGCCCTGTACGCTTGGATACCTCACAGTCCTCTTAATGGATAATGGGAACATGGGGAAGGAAAAAATCCTGAAAGCAAGCTAGCTCCTGGTTCGGTGGGCTGCATTCATTATAGCAGTTCCTTGGTGACCACGCTGAGTAAAAGTGAGACATCTTAGATACTTCCCTGTTGGCACTACTTTAGGTAGCTACCTGCTACCTGCACCCGTCTCTTCCCCCAAAGGTCAAGCAAGGGTACCACCACCCATCTTGGGTACTGCCTCCTCTCTGGTCCCTGCTTCTGCCAGCTTTTCCCCCTGCCTGACCCCTGACCCTTGACCACTCCATCACCAATTTAAGCAGATCGTGTCATGACAGTAACAGCAGCTTATTGAAGTAGAAATTCTATCGTGTCATTCCACTCAAGGACACCACTCAGGAGCCTACCAGCTCACCAAAAGCCAAAGACACACACACCCCCGTCCCCCACCTCATCCTCTCTGTGGTTCTGTTTCTCCTGCCTTTCTCCTCCCCACTGTGCTCCAGCAATGTGCCTCTTGCCTCTTCCCTCAGAGAAGCATCCTAGGCATGCCTGCCTCGGGGCCTCGCCTTTGTACGAGCTGTGGCTTTGAACTTTCACCACCGCCGGCATGCCTGCTGCCTCCCTTCCTTCAGAGAGGCCCTCCCCAGAGGTCTTGTTTCTTCACCCTCGGCTCTATCCCCAGATATTACTGTCCCCTTTCTCGGGTCCCACGTTCTAGCTGGCTCTTTACGGTAGCATACTACCAATTCTGTGTTTCTCCTATCTGTTGTCTCTATTCTCCCCTGTGCAGGCGTGGAAAAGGATAGAAAAGTTAACCCCTAGCGTCTTCAAGACAGCCTGGTATGCAGCGGGCTGTACCTATCGTGTATGGGAGGAATGGCTAGATGACTGTGCTGAGACAGGATGAGGGACAAAGCAAGCTCTGGTACCTTCAGACTCAAGAGGATTGCTGAGAAGTCTGGACCAAAACAAGTCTCTTTCCCATCAAGCTCAGGAAAGGTGGCTGGTTGACAGTTTGGCCTCATAAGAGTCCTGGGCATTAATCCCAGAGACTTCCCACTGCAAGAGACACTCCTGGAGAATTTCCTGGATCTGCAGCTGGCCACACCGCTAGGCACGGAGAGCAAGTTTCTCTGGCATTTAGCTTTGAGAAAAACCAAAGGGGACCGAGGCACCAATGTCGGGAGTTGGGAGAGTTTTTATGTCTACCAGTCAAGCATTAAATGAGGCTTTTGAAGCCATTTATTTTAATAAGTCGATGGGACTTGCTCAGTTTCACTCTTGTTACGCTTCCCCTGGTAGTGACTGGATGAAACGGAAGACCACACTGCGTATAGTGTGAGACAAATAGCGTGGGACCGCTAGGTGACAGCTGTGTTAGCTGCTTTCCCAGTGCTGCCACAAAATACCTGATAGGGCAACTTAACAGAGAGGGGGTCTAACTTGGGCTTACAGTCTGGAAACCCAGTCTGCCACGGCTGCAAGAAGCAGCCCTGTGACTCAAACTGTGGTAACAAGGACGTCCATGGTCAGGAAGCAGAGAGAAAAGGATGCTTGATTCAGTTTCTCGGGTTCACTGAGGCCCCAGCCATCATCCATATTCAGGGCAGGTCTCCCCTCCTCAGATAAACTTCTCAGAAAGCTGCCCTCACAGATGCATACAAAGGTGTGTGTGTCCTACAGGATTCTAAATCCTCATTAGTGATCAAGGCTAACCATGGTAATAGCCTACCCCTTTGGTTGTTAGGGCCACTAACTGCCGTGTCCATTTGTACTAGCGTGGAGGAACCAGTCATATTTAATACTCTACTGTTGTCTGCAAGCCTTTGGTGACACTGGTGGACTGTGACGGCCACTTGGCCACTCTGAAGAGCGTGGCTTGCTTTGGCCAGATGTCTGCTGGGTGGAGGGAGCTGGGTCTAACATGTCACTTCCTGGTGAAACTGCATTTACAAGCCTGGAAGACGCAGCCACGCATGCTAATCACTCCCAAATCTGGATATATTTCAGGATGTTTTGACAGTTTCCCCCACATAACATCTGTACTTAAAGAAGCCTCACTGCTCTTGGTAAAGTATTGGCTTGATTCCTCCGCTCACAACCGGGGCCCTGCATGGTTCTGCCCTGCTCTCCCCAGAACGCCCAACCAGGCGCGCCCCTATCCCTTACGCCCAACAGGCCTGTCCATCCTCCATGAGTTCAAGCTTCCCCAGCCATCCATCTCCAGCCCAGTCTTGTGCACCATCTCTGACAACTCGCTCTCCATCTCATATACCCAGGCTGCTCCCCCTACTAAAACTCGGAGCCACAGGTTCGCTCCAACCCTCTGCCATGCTCCCAGCTGTCCTATGCTGTCTCGATGTTTCTGTTTGCATAACACCGTCAGAGTACAATGCATGAGAGGTGTGTGGTCGATTTGAATGGTTTTGAAACGTTTTTTTCTGGAAAGAACCTACCTCAGTTATCATCAGGGAAAGGGATCTCGAAGGCCCACGGGCGGGAGGTCAGGAACGCCTTGCTTGTGTCTTGGCACAAGGCGGATGCCTGCACACTGGCAAAGGAAGCCTGTTGGGATGTGACTATGACCCCTGCCTATATAAAGATCATCTCCGCCACCACCACCACCACCGCTAGAAACGTTAAAGTAGGTGTAGGCAATGATGGTTTATGAGGTGGTAGGGTCTGAACACAGAAGGGAAGTCTTAAGGGAACAAATGGGTAATTAAAAGAAGGGAAATGTGGGCTGCTTCTAAGCTCCAAAAGTTAGTCTTGCCGGAGATCCCCCTGAGGGGAGCACCCTGGAGAAGGGCATGCTGCTCACCCTGCTCCCTGCGTCCTGGAGGGCAGGTAGCCTATGCTCTCCTTCGCACTGCCTGTCAAGTGGTCTGATGGGAGTTTTTTTAGATAAAAGATGATTTCAGGGTTTCTTCTTCACCAGATAAGGTAAACAAACCTAGGCCCACATGCCTCTCAGCCTGACACCCGTGGGCCCAGAAGAGATGGGGAGCCCTTTGTGACAGGAAAGAGTGTAGGAACCATATTCCCAGCAAGCAGTGCCTTTAAGCTTCTGGTAGCCTCTCCAGGCTCTTCCCACCTATGCCCTGGACTTGTCAAAACAGCCTGTAAGCCCCCTGCTATTTGCCTTTGAGTCTGGCTACAGACAAGGTATGTGTGAAAAGACGGCCTTTCTCGGATTTCTTTAACAGTCCACCAAAGATTTGCCCTGACCTGGCACGAACATTTTACATGTCCCGAAGGTCTCTAACAATCCTTCACATGCTGTCTTTGGCCAGTGTTTCCCCCAAAAGATAACTGGGGAAAAAAAGTATGCCTCCAGTGTTTACTTAACACACAAAGAAAAACAGACACAGCTATGTTTGACCTCAGGCCCTACAGTCTTGGGTGACTTGGGCTCTCTCCCACCCTGCCTCTCTTATCTGATTCTGGACATGCCCAATTGCTGTACCATTGATTTCGCACCAGTTTGCTGCTAACCAATCAAATGTTACTTGGTGGACATTATTGATTTGATGACACCCAAGTGAAATATATTCATGCTTCTTCTCCCTTAGGAACAAGAAATCATTTTTCCCTGCCCACCCCCCAAAAAATGTACGGAGTGATTCAGTGTGCTAACCAACAAAAGGATACATTCTCAGCCTCTGTATGTATCTGGCTTTGTGTAGTAAGCAAGCCTATTTATCCCAGTCATATATTTTTTAAATAATCAATACAATATGAATTTCAAATCTCCTCCTGCACCCTTCTCTCTATTCAAATTCTGGGGTTTGAAGTCTAATCCAGGGCTTGGTCTCTGAATTCTCAGGTTTTCTACCCCAGGTAGCTAGAGAATGCCATTTAAATCCTATCATTCTTCTTATACCTGAAATAGAGCCTGGGGTGACGGCTAGTCAACCCTTACTGCCAAATCTATGGAAACATCCTTTGTACACTGCCCATGATTATTTTTAAATCCACTCTGCAAAATGAAACAAAACAAAACAGTAACAGAGCCATGGAGACAGGACTTCTAGAAGCTGCTCTCTCCCTTTATCTTCCCTGGGAGTGGCATTTTTAAATACGGGTTTATGCCAGACATTAAACAGTCCCCCCCCACAAGAATGCATGTCTCTAAACACCTTGGAATCCTGCCCCAAACTGCAGATATTCTTAGCTGCGACTCTCCTGCCTTCTTGAACTAGATACAAAGAAAGGCTGGAGTCTAGAAGGAATAAATGGAATTCTCTAGATAGTGACTTGATTTTTTTTAAATGTTCAAATATTTATATGATTTATATGGTATTTACTTTCTAGTTTGCTTTTTTCTGCAATTCAGTGAGGCAGTTAATATTATTTGTGTTTTTAATTTTTTATTATTAATTAAATGTATTCATTTGTTTTACATCCCAACCACAATTACCCCCTCACTCCTCTCCTCTCACCCGGCCCCGCAATCCATTCCTCCTCTGTTTCTGTTCTTGTTACTAGATTTTAGTGGGTGTTTAGACCACAGAGGATACTGGCATATTGCCAGTTAGGAAAAAGTATGTGGAAGGAGGCGTCATAGGCCATCTCTTTGGCCATTGTCTCTCAGCCTTGGTTGGAATTTGACCATCGGATGGCAAGACCTGAGGATAAAATTCTGCTCAGAGCACACACCAGACTTCTCCCACGTTCCTGTCTAGATCAACGAGGCTCAAACAAACAAACGCAAGTTAATAGTTAATATATAATCTTTCTTTTAACTAATTTCAGTCTAAAGCAATGGGGATAGTGTTCTCTTAGCAGCTGGGTAAGAAAACAACGTTATTCTAAGATACACATAAAATTCTGATTCAGTGGGTTATCTTAACATCTATAAGAGTGTTGTTCTCGATCCAACTCACTCTTAAATTTTGAGCCAACATATTTGCGGAATGTTGGATCGTTTCCCAGTTCCCCGCAGATTTCGAGCACTTAGATCCCGAAGTGGCATGATAGGACTCTGACACCTCTGGACCTGCCTTGTGTCGTGGCATCCTGCTGCTAGCAGAAGATTCCATTTGTCCCACTACCATCACCCGCCGCCCCCCCCTGCGCTTTCCAGTTCCTGTCTGGGCTTGCTTGCAGGTCATCTGGACAGTAACTCCCATGTGGTCCATGTCTTGAGTGGTATCATGGTTACCCTGCAACCAAGACAGCTCTGCTTTCAAAACCTCACTCTGCTACACCATAAAATTAGGCGGCAGAATTGACATTTAGTTACATGTCTGTCATAGAAATGAAGTTCTTAAAATCCTTCTCCTCACAGCTGTATGCCTTAACATGGAAACCGAAGACACCAATTAGAACAAATAAATGATATATATTTCACACGCACACACACACACTCAAAGCAGTCCTCAACTTGGACAGTGGATGTATTTGCTTAATTCACTGTCTGAGATGCTGAACCACACATATTACTCTCACTATGTCAAAATTCTGTGGTGGTCTTATCTTACGATCAGAACAAAGCTTATGGTAATATTTCATTAGATACCCAATATAAACAGGGTGATGAATAATAGAAAACTAAGCCTGTAAAAAAAAAAGTAATACTCAAAGCATTTTTGGCTTTACTGGACACTGTTCTTTATACTGATTGGAAGTAAGATTGAGTACAGAACATTTTGGTAACTAAATCAGAATCTCAAAGATAAGATACGCCTCCTTTAAACTTGTATATTTATGCATACTTTTATACATATTATTTACATATTATCCCAGCACACAGGAAGCACTGATAATATCAGTACAGAATAACACAGTTATCTGCTTTGAGTCCTGGGTTTTCTTTTGTAACAGGAGAACATCTTAAACTTAGAACTTTCCCCTCTGTTTGCTGTGGTCTGGTACAATTTTTTTCCCCTGCAAATACATGGAAAGACACTACTTGAGAATTATATTTAATGCAAGCACCCCTGCCGCACTCTGCATCAGAGATTAATATTTTAAGAAATTGTGTGGCCGCCTGCATGTATTTGTCTCCATTGATATGTAGAAAGAAAAGCTCATTAATGATTTAAGAAGAGGGTTTTTTTTATTCATAGACTTGATTCTTCCCATTTTATAAACAATAAAGGCAATAAATTAACATCTCATAAAGTCACAAGTTCATTGCTGAGTTTATTTGCAAGAAAGTCTCGACTCCCTGAGCATAAACATTCCTGCTCTCACTTCCCCTGCCTGGCTGTTTTAAAAATGATCACTCGGCATATTTTAACCTAGAAGGGAGGTTATTATTCCTGCCTGCCAGCTACCATCGAGCACCATATTTGAACAACTGTCTCATACAGCAATTCTTTGACTTCTAGAACGGTAAGTTATACTATAGAAATAGAAAGCTCCCGATGTCAAATTTAAGTACAAGCCTTGTTTTCCCCATGTACCTGTTGTGTATCACCGATAACACGGGAGGGGGGTGATTCCCCTGTCTTCCAACTGTATCAACCCTCCATTGACTTCATCTTCTTGCTTTACACCTAGTTTAAAAAAAAAAAAAGAATCCAAATTCCTGCCAAGTCAGGTTTCTCTGTTGGGAAGCAGATAAGGGGTTGTGCTTCGTATCTGTGTGCGTGAGCAAGAAGGGCCAACATCCTTCTTTGTATTTGCTGACGCCGTGCAGCAAATACTGATGACATCTCCACCGGCTGTTTGCTTTCTCTCATTGGGTTGGGCATCTTCGCCTTTGTGTTTTACTGCGGGGGGTAAAAGGTGCTCTTGGTTGTTTCCTTTTATCTTGCAACTATTTCTCATGAGCAGAAATAGTTCCGCATGTGTGAATTCCAGGACTGAACTCCTTTGGGTAGCCATCTCTTGGGAAAGCCATTTCACAGGAACCCTGGGCACACACATCCACATTCCACGGTGAGATGTGAAAATGAGCCGTTGGGGCTGGAATGTGGTTGGGGGCTTAGCAGGCTGTCTGCATGACTCATAGATGTGTTTACTATCCAGCCCTTTTTAAAAATACATATATATTACTTCAACTGTGACAGGATGGCATTAGGTAAGTGGGGAGAAGAGAGAGGGACCGTAATGAGAGACACTTGGAAAGGTGATATGGACTTTGTCTGTGGCTTCCTTTCAGGTCTGATGTTGTGGTCCTCTGTTTCTCAATTGCGAATCCCAACTCCCTAAATCATGTGAAAACCATGTGGTATCAAGAAATCAAGCACTTTTGCCCTCGAACACCTGTTGTCCTGGTTGGCTGCCAGCTAGACCTCCGCTACGCCGATCTGGAAGCTGTCAACCGGGCCAGACGCCCCTTAGCAAGGTAAGTCAAGGACCCTGGGTGCAGCTGGCACCTCAGCAAGGAAGTAGCTTATAGGTACCTCAGATTTTCAGTGGCCACTGAGATTACTCCTATCAGCCATAGACTTTTGGCAAGGTCAGCCAGACATTCATCATGAGGCTAGTGTCCTGATTGCCTCCCCAGGCTCACCAGAGTCAAGATCCAGCCTCATAAAATGGCTGGCCAGTGCTTGAAGGGAATTCCATGATATGAAATGGGGTGTCTGAAAGTACTGTGGATAAAGTACTGTATTCGAATGAAGTCCTATACCAAATGCTAGCCACCCATTCTTGAAGTTATGCCTACTTAGAATAAAATAAACTAAGGCTCAGAATGACCAGGCACGGTTGCTAGCCAGTACCACATCCTAACGGAGATGGCCTTTCATTCCCACGACCACGTGTCTAGGTTGGTTTTGGTGTTGCTGTGTTTTTCTGTCTTCTGGTGGTTTTTTGTACAGTATTGGAGAGTGAGCCCAAAGCCTTCCACATTCTAGGCAGACCAGACAGTCTACCACTGAGCCATATCCCCATTCCTCTTTTTATTCAGAGCCAGGCAGGGCCTCACTAAATTTCATAGACTGGCCTGGAGCTTACTCGGTAGCATGGCTGGGGTTTGAACCTGTGATCCTCTTTCCTCAGCCTCCTGAGCGGCTGGGATTACAGGTCCATACCACTAGGCCTGGGCCAGTGTCCAGTCTTTAAAAACCATGAAGAGCTGAGCCTGATGGCACTCACTGGTGATCCCAGCCCTTGAGGCAGGTGGATCTCCACAAGTTTGAGGGCAATTTGATCCACATAGCAAGTTCAAGGTCAGCCAGAGCTGCCTCAAAGAAACGAAACAAAGCAAACACCTAAAAATCATGTTGAGCTGTACTTGCAAAAAAGCAAACATAAGGGCCGGAGAGATGGCTCAGCAGTTAAGAGTACTGGCTGCTCTTCAAGAGGACCTCAGTTCAATTCCCAGCACCCACGTGGTGGCTCACAACCATCCCTAGTGGGATTTGATGCCCCCTTCTGGCATAAAGTTGTACATACAGATAGAGCTCTTGCATACATAAAATAAATAAGTAAATCGTTAAAAAGGAAAACAAACATGGCTTTTAAAAATATGTCTAATCCTTATGTTAACAAAGAGTCAGAATTTTTTTTAAAAAAGATAGAGGGTGTTTTTACTGTGTGCACAGTATGGATACCAATTTTTGAATGAAATAAGAATTTTTATAAACGTATGCTCTCAGAAGTTACTCTTGCATAAAGCAATTAGTCTGTCTCACACCCATCTTCTCTGCCAAAGAACAAAATCCCACGAAGCTCTGATAGCAATGCCTTGCTTCAGTATTTACCTGGTTGGCTTACCACAAGCCTTCTCTGGGTCCCACTGTTTGTGCTACTGCGGTGACAGCATATGAGGAGACAATTTCCGGTGCTTCCAATACATCCTGGATAAAACTTGTGAAAGCATTTCATGTTCGGTCTCCACAGTCCCTCTGTTCCTACGTGGGATGTTCCGAGACACCTGGGTGTGGGGGGGGTGACTGGAGAGGGCAGTGGAACAGGCCAAGCAGCAGACAGGGTGGTCCCTTATACAGAGGACTTAGAGATTTCATGAAGTAGGGTGTTAGGGCTAAGCTTTGAGCTAATCAATTAGCAAATTTCAAGTCAACCCCAAGGACAAAGATCGCACAAGGCCCATGGGAAGAGGGTTAAAGTTGAACCTTCCTCCCTTGATCCTTCCACCCTCGTCAGCACCCCGAGGTGTGATGTCCTCTCTCTCTCCCTCCCTCTCTCCCTCTCACCCTCCCTTCCTCCAGGTCTTCACATCCAAATTCCATCCAGTTTTGTCATTGCTCGGCTGGACCAGGGCCTGGGAAGCGTATGGCTTTCGGTGTCAAAGGCAAAGTATTTAAGATCAGTTTCTAAGAGCATTTGTCAGAATCAAGCGGTGTGTTTCTTGAAGAATTATAGCAAATCACATCTTGTCGGTCCTGGACTCTTTCCCTGGTTATGTCACAAGCCCAGCACTGCTCTGCTTACATTGGCCTTCCCGGGTTTGATTAAATTGTAAATGAGTTTTGTGTGCCAGACCAAAAGGGTGTGGGCTTTGTTCCACTGGCTTTGGGGAAACAGGAGAAATGAACACAGAGTTGCAGGCTCAGCTATACCCAGGCTATTTTAGTACTTTTCTTGCAGTGCAGCTATAAGTGCAGCTTTTGAAGGTGGCCTAGCTTAGTTATGGTTTTTACTGCTGTGAAGAGACACCATGAGCACGGCAACTTTTGTAAAGAAAACAGTTAACTGGGGTGACTTGCTTATAGTTTCAGAGGTTCAGTGCATTATCATCAAGGCGGGGAGCATGCAGCATGGATGTGAGGCTGGCTCCATCTTGGCCTGCAGGGAACAGGAAGTTGACTGCGATCCTGGGCAATATCCCTAGTATAGGAAACCTCAAAGCCCATCCCCACAGTGGCATACTTCCTGCAACAAGGCCACACCCACTCCAACAAAGCCACACCTCCTACTAGTGCCACTCCCTGTGAAATTATGGGGGCCAATTATACTCAAAGTGCCACAGAGGCCAACTAAGAGACCCACGCACCAGTCCACAGAGAAGATTGCTGAGGGCCTGATGGAAAGAGAGGGGGCCAATATGTGAATGAGGACTCATGGATCCGACAGAGAGACTTTAGAGGCCACTGGACACGGATCACTGAACCAAGAGCCAGGAAGTCCAGACACTCACCACTTAGTAGAAGTTTCTAGCAGCGTATAGACCTGCTGTAGGCAGACCTATTGAACTTCCTGCCTGTTCCTTGTCACTACAGAATGGAAATAGTACTTCACAGAGCTCTTAGTGTTAGTGGACACATTATGAAGCTATTCAAAGGACACATGCAATGGTGAAGATGGCCACAGCGGTGATAACTTTTATGCAGCACCGAGAACAATGCTAACTAGGCGCATATACATCATCTCACTTAAACCTCTTTGAGGGGCCCGTGTTCTCCAAAGATGGAAAGCCAAGGCTTAAGGAGTTAGACAGCTTGCTCAGGATCACATAGACAACATAGGCCAACCCGTCTGTTGTCACAGTTACTACTAACAGCGTATATATTTCTTTCTTCAGTCATAAATCCTTTATCTTGGAATGGTTATGAGTTTTCAAGACCCTTACAGGATTTTAAACGTAAAAATGTAAAAAGTGAATGGGGTTTTTAATTGTATGACTAAATTAGGGATTTAGAAATTTAGATGACATCTTTCCCCCCTTTTTCTGCTTAAAAGAAAGTTGAAGTCAGGTGTTGGTAGCGCATGCCTTTAATCCCAGCACTCGGGAGGCAGAGGCAGGTGGATCTCTGCGAGTTCGAGACCAGCCTGGTCTACAAGAGCTGGTTCCAGGACAGCCTCCAAAGCCACAGAGAAACCCTGTCTCGAAAAACCAAAAAAAAAGAAAAAGAAAAAAAAAGAAAGAAAAAGAAAAGAAAGTTGATTATATGGTTTTTTTTTTTCTTATTTCAGGCCCATAAAGAGAGGTGACATTTTGCCCCCAGAAAAGGGCCGAGAGGTGGCGAAGGAACTTGGCATCCCTTACTACGAGACCAGCGTGTTTGACCAGTTTGGCATCAAGGACGTGTTCGACAACGCCATCCGGGCAGCCCTCATCTCCCGCCGGCACCTGCAGTTCTGGAAATCCCACTTGAAAAAAGTCCAGAAGCCTCTGCTTCAGGCGCCCTTCCTACCTCCGAAAGCCCCTCCCCCGGTCATCAAGGTCCCTGAGTGTCCGTCCACGGGGACAAGCGATGCCGCCTGTTTACTGGACAACCCTCTATGTGCCGATGTCCTCTTCGTTCTCCAGGGCCAGGAGCACATCTTTGCGCACCGCATTTACCTCGCTACCTCTTCTTCCAAATTCTACGACCTTTTTTTAATGGAGTGTGAAGAATCCCCCGGTTGGGGTGGAGGAGCTGGTGAGGAGGTGCCATGCAGGGATTTTCAGGGGCAGATGCAGAGTATTGGCCCAGCCGAGGAAGGGAAGACAAGTCCCCAGAGGACCCCTCAGGCTGGTCCAGGAGCTTCTTCAGGCCAGGACCTGCTGGAGAGCCTGGCTTTGCAGACGGAGGCCTCGGGTTCTGAGACGCAGGCCCTGTCCGGCTGGAGCAAGGGGTTTGTCAGCATGCACAGGGAGGTGCGGGTCAACCCCATTTCTAAGCGGGTAGGCCCTGTGACCGTAGTCAGGCTGGACCCGTCGATGCCGTCGGGCCCTTTCCGGACCCTGCTGCGATTCCTCTACACTGGGCAGCTGGACGAGAAGGAGAAAGACTTGCTGGGGCTGGCCCAGATGGCCGAGGTCCTGGAGATGTTCGACCTGAGGATGATGGTGGAGAATATCATGAACAAAGAAGCCTTCATGAACCAGGAGATCACGAAAGCCTTCCACGTCAGGAAAGCCAACCGGATCAAAGAGTGTCTCAGCAAGGGCACCTTCTCAGGTGAGCAGAGCGGCAGCGAGCCAACCATCAAGACCTTGGGCGGGGCATGGGGGGTCATCACACGCTAGCTAAACAGAGCATGAGATCAAATAAAGACAATAGGATTAACTTTGCCAATCCTTATCAGACCCAAGAGATAGACTTTCTGTGTTGCAGACGTTGAGAAACAAAGGACCGAGAGGCCAGGTCACGACAAAGTCAGTTAAGTGACAACAGTGAGGACAAGAAACCAAGCTTTGCCACCACACAAGCCTAGTCCCTCAATCTCCAGTGCTAGGGTAGACGGGATGACCCTGTGCCTTTTTCCAGGGGCTTGACACTTGAACTGCCTGGCTTCAGGAGCCCTGTTCCATGGCCAGTGTCCATTGCTCCATTTTTCTCCCTTGTCCCCGCCTCATTGATCTCTGGTCCTGAGGTCACTGAAATCCCAGAGGCAAGTTGCATTTACCGTTTCCATCACCACCACCCCCAGCTGCCTGCCTGGCTTGTACCCCTGTTCTCCTGAGCCCTGATCTTTCTTCTTTCATCTCCAGTAACCACGCCACACGCAGCCATTGGCGTCCTTCCGAGAACAAGCCCTCTAGAGACTGCATCTGGTCTGATTTACTGACCTTTGCTTTGTTCTGTCTGATACATGTATACTATTCTTATTCCAGAGTCATCCTCTCTGGACGTGGGTGTGGGTGTGGGTGTAAGCGGACTTCACTGCAAGAAGCTGACTTCCTGAGTTCTGTTTACTGGGCTACCTCTATTTTTGTTTTCGTTTCCCATAATCCCTGCCTCGGTACTACACACTCTGAGACCTGATACTGAGTCACTGTATTCGTTTTAAAGCAAGGAGTGGGTAACATTTACTACAAACACTGGTTGCCATGGTGTGGAAGCAGCTCTGATATTACTGAAAGGAATGTGTTGCGAATCTGTACTCAATGAACTGGTAGACATTAAAGCTGACTAAATCCCTCTGTAACTGGCCAGATAGCGCCAAGCAAGAATGGGGGTCCACACAGGACTCATTTATGAAAGAGAGGCCCTGGCACGTCACTCAGGGATGACTGAGACATCTGAGTTAGGTGATGGATGGCATCAGAACATTGTTCTAATTTTTTTTCTTTTAGCTACAATTAATCATGGTACACTTCTTTGAAATGTTGTGTTCTTTTCTTAGGAGTTGCATGATGAAGAAATTGGGAGTGAAGTGTCACCATCAGTTAACACACACACACACACACACACACACACACACACACACACACACACACCTACTGGGCACAGCGGTACAAAAGCAATAGTGAATGTTAATTTAAAAGGTGATTAGACAAATGTACAGCAAACCATGTCTAATGTTGATTAAAATTACTTACAGGCTGTGTATACAAGGTATCTACGAAACATAGTGGATTTCATGTCTAAACTCATCTTCTGGCACCAGAATTGTCCTTGTGTATGTGTAAATGTGTCAAATGCTGTACAATCCCCAAATCTAAAACACAGAAAAACAGTCCTCTCCTTTCTACTACTTCCTGGCCCTGGGAATTTGTGTTGTGATCCTGTGTGTGATTGGGAGCTGGATGTATCACAAGTATGGGTTGAGGTAGGATCAGTAGACCTGGAAGACAGAGTGAGAGATACACCTTTGTTGAATGTTCACGGGGCAGAAGGCCGGGGTGAAACCCCTGGCAAAACTGGCTCACGGTTTTGTTTCCCCCGTCCTTGGCAGACGTGACATTCACCTTGGATGATGGAGCCATCAGTGCCCACAAGCCACTGCTGATCTGCAGCTGCGAGTGGATGGCCGCCATGTTCGGGGGCTCCTTTGTGGAAAGCGCCAACAGTGTGGTAGGTGCCCTGGAAGCCCAGAGTGTTTAAGCAGCCAGATGACTCCCCTTTGACCGCTTCCGTGAAATAGTTCCTCGGGCCGTGTATTAGTGTGAAATCATACCTGCTGTGTCTACAGTCCTGAGGAGAAGTAGGCGCTGGTCACTAGCGGGGGGAGCACAGGGTGCTTAGGATTCATTCTCACACCTTTCTTCCACTCAAGAGTCATAACTGGCCATGTTTTCTAGCAAACATCAACAAGACAGGCGTAGTACTATCCAAGTCTTCTCTAGGGAAGTTAAAAGTTCCCCCATCAATGGAGGACCAACACTGTCCTTAACCAGACAGGAGACCTTGCCCCAACCCGGTCGTTATACCTCAGGCATGTCATCTGATGACTGTTCCTAGTGGTCCCGGAGGTCCAGCTGTGAGCCACAGCATTGGAGGCAGTTTTCCCACCTTGCTGGGAGGTGGGCGGGGCGGGGGGGGTGGCTAGGAAATGAAAGTTGGTTGAGTCCTCAGTGCGTTGAACACACTTCTCGAAGCATGTAGGTCCAGCAGAAGCAGAAGGGTCCTATCCTCCAAAGGAAAGGCTTTAGAATGTCTCAAAGACACCATCTTTATCTTTGTACAAACACTGCTGGAAAAAAAAATCCATTCAAGCATTTCAAACCAAGTGTGGGTGGAGCAGGTTTGCAATATTCCCTAGCATCTTTTTTTTTTCTAAAAAATAACACGGGACACCCCATCAAGTTTATTGTCCTTAGGGGCTAGCCTTGCTTATCTCAGCATCTCTTCCCAACTTTCAAAAGAAATTCTAAAAACAAAGGCTAACTTTTCAAAAGGGGTGCTCCCAGGGGAGCACTCCCACGGTGCCCCAGGAGCCTTCATTTGCATCTCCAAGTAGGGAAACAGAATCCTAGAATCACAAGCCAGGAATGGCTGGGGCCGGAAAAGGTCATTGGACCATCCTCCTGCTTCCAGAAAAAAACACAGCTGCTGCTTAATCAGACCCCAGAAAAGGAGCCCTGCCCTTTGGGCGGAAGACTTCGGAATTAACCCAGCAGCCTCTTCTGCATCCTTAGGAAGTCCGGAAGTTCTTTGATTTCCTAAATCTCCCTCCTGTGTGTTCAAAAGCATGAGACACTCAAAGGAAGATTTCTCAGCGCATGGAGGCTGCACAGAAAAGGGTCCCCATGACCCAAATATAACTCTTCACCCCCAGGCTGGATGGCCCGGGACAAGAGACTTCTGCTTTCTGAGTCTCCCTCGGTCAAGCACTCAATAATGACCTGGATGTAGTTGTGAAAGTCTGTGTTTAGGAAGTAATTTCTGAGCATCTAGTCCATGCTAGCCACTGTAGACTGGTTGGCACTGATGCTGATGATAGTCTTGCCCTCTTACAGGACAGATTGGGGTCGCTCCCCCTCCATCTGACCTGCTGTGACTGGCATTTTCTGGTGTTCATCCCTTAGCTTTGTAGCCCCACCACACCTGCTAGTGGCGTCTTTATGTGAGTGGAGCCTCCTAATGATGAAGGTCAGGACCCCAGGCAACAGAGCAACGGTGTCAGCGCTGACGCTAATCCCCTTTATCCCTTCACAGAAGAGACCTCTAATCTCTCCAGATTAACATGTGCAGCAGAGGTAACCAAAACAAAACCTAGCAGCACACGTGTGAGCACACACACACACATCCCTCATGCATGTGAGCACACACATGCCTTACATGGTGACTGACCCACTGGAAGTGACCATTTTGTTCAACGGGGTTCTAGAAGGAAACTAGAAGCCAGCCCTCCCCTCTGAGGACTGAAGCTAAAACTAATAGGGGCAGGGATTGTAGCCTTTGGGAATTTAGAGAAAGAAAAAAAAATGACCACTAAGCAAGTCACCAAATCCCACAAACCTTAGCAATGCCATCCACTGTTGACATTTCCATTTCCTGTCCCCTTTCTCTGTTTCTAAGACAGGCCATAAGAGGTGACCTTGGGCCAGTGGTCAGCCTTCTCTAAACCTATGTCCTCATCTATTAAGTGAGAATGACGGGCAAATGTTCTCCCAAGGGCAGCCAAAGCATGAACATGCATATGCCATGCCTGGAGCATAGGTAATGCCCAGCAAATGTTGTCACCCTCATTAAATTTTCTCACTGGGGATAAGGGTGCTCTAGATTAAGAAGGTGCCAGCCACTGGGCAGCACTGGGGATGCAGAAGCAGACGGATCTCTGTGAGTGAGTTCAAGGCTGGCCTGGTCTTCAGAGCAAGTTCTGGGATCGCCAGGGCTATACAGAGATACCCTGTCTTAAAAAAAAAAAAATGAAGAAACTTCCAGCACATCTTCTAGTCTAAGACAGGGAGGTGGCAGCGGTCACAGACAGAAGTGAACCTTGTGAAATGGTCACGGAATCCTCCAGGAAGAACTTTGCCCTTTTTCGCACCCTTGGGAATTAGCCTTTCTAGGCCATCTTTGTAAAGTTGTTTTTTGGGTTTTTTTTTAAGATTTACTTTTATTTTTTGCATATGGGTGCTTTGCTTGCGTGTGATGTCTACCTGTGTGTAGTGCCGGACGACATCAGAAGAGGATGTCAGATCCGCTGGAACTGGACTTATCACTGGTGTCAGCCATCGCATGGGTGCTGGGAATCAAACTCCAGTCCTCTGCAAGGGCAGCCACTGCTCTTGGGCTGTCTTTCCAGCCCTTCTCAGTCATCTTTTACATCTGTTTTGTCTTGGGGAGCTCTGAGTTACCCCCTGAAATTCAGGGTACAGAGGGGACCCTTATACACGTGTATCTAGAAAAGAGGACAGCGAGCCATGAGTGTTAGGTTAAATCTTATCATTTAATATAGAAGACATTTCTGTTTTACTTTTTTTCCTCATTACTTTTAGTGCAGCAGTAAGCCTCATTCTTTCCCACTGAGGCATTCAGCAAGCGGTTCACTTCAAATGTTTGCCAGGTTAGGGTAAGCAGTGGGCTAGCTCCAGATTACTTGCTCGCTCTGTGTGAGACTGGCTGTAACGGCAAGCCTAATGGTCTGAGCTAATCTTCACAATGACAATGTTAAACCAACTAAAGAGGAATACAGGCACTGATGGGGGTAGCATTGTCTTCATTTCAGTTACTCCAGTGTTTTCTGGAGTTGCTTTGAGTAAGTAGGTTGTGGACATCATGTTCCCTGTCTTGTGGCTCCGTTCTTGGGTTATTTTCAGGGACTGTAAGTAGATCCCCCCATTGTTAGATGGTTAATTATAAGAGATCACAGAAACCGGATTTGGATTTTGTTATGCTTTATAAAAAGCAATCAGCAATGAGGGGGAAAATACATGTTATGAAAGTGTTTTGTGTTTCTTCTCATTTGTTGATAGCCCCTAAGGGGTCCCTAAGATAACCTGCCAAAATGAGTCATCACTTCAAAGGTGTTGATGTCATATTAGCGAAAGGGAAGCAGCTGGTCTGTGTTGATTACTCACATCAGAGCCCTCTGAGGATGCTGGGAATGCTGGGAAGCAGGGCCATGCTCACTGAACTCTCATCAGGAGATGTGAGTTCCCAGCAACAACTCCTTTCTACTTAGGATGTCCCTTGTCACATCTGTATTTTCAATGACCATTTTTGTCGTTGCTGAACAGCCTGGAAAGTGCTCATAGCATACACAGCCAAGGAACCCGAGAGGCTTCAAAACCCAGTCTCAGTGAGGAAGTAACTTTGGCATGGTTTCCATATTCAGGAACCTGAGGGTCAGAGAGAGTGTGGGTGACTTACTGAGGGTCACACAGTACTTATTGGTGTGCCCCTGGGCCACGTCTTGGCATACCTCTGGGCCAGCCCACACACTCTTACCCTGTCCCCTCCAGACCCTCTGCACACTTCCATTTCTGAAAGAGCAGATTCCCACAGCTGAGACAGCGTATGCTCTCTGCCCTGACACCTGCAATTATATCTCTTAACATTTTACGAAGCATGGATGCTCTTACTATAAAAGTAGGTTAAATATGAAAGTTTTGCACCTTAGCATTCAAGTACCTAAAAAAAAATCCCACATACCTAAAAAAAAATCCCATGAATCCAAACACATTCTAGAGAGGAAATCTCACCATGCATTTACCTGGCTTCTGTCAGGTTGTTATTGGTACAGCATAAATGCATATGTCTTTAAACATGTGTGTGTGCAAGCAAACACACAAGTGTGCCCAAGGTTAGACACACAGTGTAAGAAATTACTACGTGATAGAGCTGGGCGAAGGGAAGGAACAGTGTTATCACGTTGACACATCACAGATGATGTGCTGTTACAGCCTGTCCCTGGAAACCAGAGGGCCAGGAGAGGTGGAAGTGTCAGCCGCAAGTGACAGTCTTAGCCTGGTGCTACCTTAAGATTATGATATCAGTTTTGACTCCTCACATCCTGTCACCGCAGAGGCTGTCCCGGCAACTTGAAGTGATGGTCCGTAATAACAACCCAGATGCTTCTTTCCCAAAGCCGTCATTTGTTTTCCAGGCCTGTGTCTGAGGGTGAGCTGCTTGCTTAATAATTCCAGGAGCTTGTTAGGAGCCTTCCTTACGACATGTTGAAGAATAACTCTCCCTGGAGGTGTATTCCTTCTCTGATGTGGCCAGTGACTACCCAGGGGAATAACATCAAAAAGGGCGATAGCTTTATTCTGGAAAGGTCATCCATGAGCCCACGTAGAACCTGAGGGAGATACAGGCATGCGTGCACAAGTGTATTTGCAGAGGCCTCTCTTTGTATGTGTTTATATGTGAAGTGACTAACCCTACAGCACAGATGTAATCATGTATATATAGACATCATACATACATACATACATACATAAAGATATATATATACACATATACATTTATGTGTATATTTGGTGGCGTGTATTTTTTATGCTTTGTTAAGTGTCAGAGTTAAGAAGTCTATAACGGTTCATCCTTTCAAATTAGAACTCTGGTTCCCAGAACTACTTATAAAATCCAAGGCTTTGTTGCTCTGTAGCCCAAAGCGGCAGCATAAGGAGACTCCAGGTTACATGACAATGTAGCGCATGGACTTTACAATTGCACTCCCTGGGTTTAAATCCCAGTCATTGCTGACCCTATGACCTTGGACACAAAACTTAGCCTCCTTGACTGCTATGTCCTTGTCCGTAAAAATGGCAAAATTAATAGCCTCCCCTTCTTAGGACAGATGTAAGAGTTGTATTAGACGGTGTGTGAGAAGTTGGGGGCAGAAGCGTCTTTCAAAGTGACAGTCTGAACAACAAGGGGGTGCCATTCTGTACCATGTCACAGTCCCTACCGTGTGGAGTGTCTTAGTTCAGGTCTCTGTTGCTGTGATGAAACACCGTGACCATGGTACTTCTTATGAAGGAAAATATTTAATTGGGAGGAGCTTACAGTTCAGAGTTTTAGTCCATTACTGTCAAGGCAGAAAGCATGACGGCGTGCAGGCAGACATGGCGCTGGAGAAGCAGCTGAGAGTTCTGCCTCTTGTTCAGCAGGCAGCAGGAAGAGCAAGTGAGCCATTAGGCATGGCTGGAGCTTCTGAAACCTCAAAACCAACCCCCCAGTGACACACTTCTTCCAATAAGGCCACACCTACTCCAACAAGTTCATGTCTCCTAATGGTGCCACTCCTAATGAGCCTGCGGGATCATCCTTTTTTTTTTTTCAAACCACTGCATGGAGCTAGTGAAGATTGGAAATACAGGGTGTATCTCCAGTACACTGATCCTTGTCCCCCTCTTCCATACAGATCTGAGGCCCCACCCAGCTCATTCCCTCACCCCTTAGAGAGTGTAGCATGTGTTGTAAATAAGAGCTCCAGACACAGAGGACAGAGGCTATGGGCATCCTGCAGGTGATCATGTCTCACACCCAGCCAAGCGTGCCAAGCCAGGAGCCCTTTGGCTGCTCTAGATCTGCGGAGACCCAGTGATATATCTGTAGTTCTGGGTCTGTGCCATTGTGGGAGAATATACTGAAATGGAGACCCAGTGCTGGCAGATGCAGGAGGGTCACCGGTATGCCGAGTGTCACTGTGGCAACTGCTGTGGTCATTCCTCCTGTGTTTGGCCACTTGAGAGAGGGCCTCTCTCTCGTCTGCAGCAGTATGGCTAACAGTCCCCCCCCCCATACATGTCACATTGCCGAATGATTTCTCACTCCACAATGGCGTATCTTCAGGTCCTTGGCAGGGAGGGCCCATAATGTCATAGCACATTTATGACCCATTTGTCTGATTTATAGGCCCAGATAGCCATTTAAAAAAAAATTCCACACCAGGCTCTGTCAGGTAGCAAGGCTCTTTTGTCACCTACAAATCAAACTGTTAGGTTTACAGCCATAAATACTCTCAGCACAGCCTCAGAGTCATGCCTGCAGTTGTCCAGCATTGGGCCACGTGGCCGGGATGTTTATGAGCCCTATAGCCTGAAGGTGGGCAGTCCCCAGTTCCTGCAGCAGCACTGAGCCTTCTCTACACTGTTACAGGTGCATCTCCCCAATATAAACAAGATGTCGATGCAGGCGGTGCTGGAATACCTCTACACCAAGCAGTTGTCGCCCAACTTGGACCTGGACCCCCTGGAGTTAATTGCCTTGGCAAACAGATTTTGCCTGCCGCACTTGGTTGCACTCGTAGGTAAGGCTGGGGACTTTGTGTCTGATAGCCACACTGATCAAAATCACACTTAAAGAAACACAAGATTGCCAAGGATCGGATCACTCTAATTTCTGTCTCTCCAAACAAACAGAACAGTCCCGGGTGAGTGGGAGAAGCCAGCCCAGTCCATCAGTCATGCAAGGAGTATCTCCTGCACTCCTCTGTGATAGGCCCCATGAGGCGATGAAAATGTACACGTACAATGATGGGCACGTGGCTTTGGAGGTACAAGCTGAACCTCATGTGAGCCACACCATTTGAGATCACACTATGGGGTCAGTATTACTCCAGGAAAGTGCTGTGCACAGGCATAGTCTTTGAGGAAGGAACATTTACAGAGTGGCAGAGAGGAAAGGATCCAGCTCCCTCAGGAGCCCATCCTGGCCCCTTTGCTTCCCAGATAGGTGACTTGTCCTTTGTGTGACTGTGACTTGAGCTCTCTTTCTCAGCCATCTCCCTCTTTAAAATGGATTCATTACCTGCCACCAAACTGTGAAGATTGATTGTGGCAAATATGTCAAGTCCGTAGAACACAGGCTGACACAGAAAGCATCATGTGTTTGGTTTTGAGTTTTTCTTTTCCTTCCTTCCTTCCTTCTTTCCTTCCTTCCTTCCTTCCTTTTTCTAAGACAGGTTTTTCTCTGTGTAGCTCTGGATGTCCTGGAAATTGCTTTGTAGACCATGCTGACCTCAAACTCACAGAGATCCACCTGCCTCTGTCTCCCAAGCACTAGGATTAAAGGTGTGTGCCACCAACACCCAGCGTTTTCTTTTTCTTAAAGCTATTTTTGAAAATGTTCTGACATTGTCAAGTTCATTTTGGAAGGGGGGGAAAAAGAAAAGATTTGACTTAACTTCAGGAGTCTTTTCCATAACTTCTCCATTTGTTCAGTTGGTAAACTGGAGCAGGTCTGAGTGGCATATATCTCTTGTTTCAAAACATTAAGCCTTGTGCATCCTTCCCTAGAGGTGTCAATCAGAAGGCTGGGTGTTTATCCCTATACTTGCCTGATTGCTGATTCCAGTGAAAATAGAGACACAGTGCTGTTTGCTGGCCTTCCTCATGCACTGTGGGAATTGTCTGGGCACATTAGGCTTTCCATCAAAACTCATTAACAAAATGAGCAGAGAACAAGTCAGCCCATTCAATATGTGCTATACCTCAGTAATGACTTTTGAAGTTTCTCTGCCCCTCCCCCCCCCCACACGGATTACCTGGAAATAGAGTTCTCTTTTCTTCTTGCTTCTTCCCCAATTTAAAAGAAAGAATTTACACCCAGGCATGATGGAGCACACCTTTAGACCCAGCACTCAGAAGGCAGAGGCAGGTGGATCTATTTGAATTCAAAGCCAGCTTTGTCTACAAAGCAAGTTCAGGACAGCCTGGGCTACCCAGAGAAACCCTGTCTTGAAAAACAAATGAATAAACCCAAAAACTAAAGGAGGAAGGGAAGAAGGGAATACGAAAAAGACCTTTTCTGCCAACATACTAAAGTCACAGATCCAAACGAGTATATTACTTTTCACACATTGATTTCAGGAAGCTGCAATGAAAATTCCCTTTTCAGAAATGTGAGTTACAACTCCGGGTAACCACACACAGGTTATGCAAAGGTCCTTTGAAGACAAATTTGATTTTTTTTCTATAGACAAAAGTAACTTGGAACCAAATATGCTGAATCTGATCTGTGTTCAGTGTCAGCATAGTAGAGATTAAATCTGACACTGATAACGCGGATAGATTTCTACATGAAAGTGACCCTAAGAAAGCTCCTGTGGGAACTGGCCCCAGCCTTCTTGTATGATGTAATAAAACCCTGCTGGTCCTGATGCACACACCTTCCCAACAAGGCTACTTGAGTCACCTATGGTATCTGATGTGCGGAATCTAAACAAAGCCTTTAGACCAGTGGTTCTTCGTCTGTGGGTCAAGACCCCCTTGGCAAACCTTTGTCTCCAAGTATATTTATATTATGATTCATAATGGTAGCAAAATGACAGTTATGAAGTAGCAATGAAAATAATTTTATGGTCGGGGATCAGCACAACATGAGGAACTGTATTAAAGAGTGGCAGCATCAGGAAGGTTGAGTGAGAACCACTGGTTTCGACTGTCTTTGTCACAGATTTCAGGCTCTGTTTCTAGACTGGAAACACTTCACGAACCAGTGTTAAATAAATTTCAAATCATTTATTTGCTGCTTTTTTCACTTTTCTCATCACTGTGACAAACACCTGACAAAACCTGAAGAAGGAAGGGTCTATTGTGGCTAGGACCAAGAGGACAGTTCATCACTGCAGGGCAGGCGTGGCAGCAGGGGTAGGAGGCGGCTGGTCACACTGCGTCTGCATCCCGGAAACAGAAATGAATAGTAGGGATGTGTTTTTCTCATTTTCATTCAGTCTGGGAACGCATCCCATAAGATGGCACCACCACACTCAGGCTGGGTCTTCCCACCATGGTCAAACCTTTCCAAAACCATCATTATAGACACAACCTAGGGGTGTGTTTCCATGGTGATGCTAGCCAGATCCTGTCTTGACAGTCCCGTTAACCATCACATTTGCTGTTACTTAGAGAGCCCAGGTGACTTCTCTGGAAAATTTAGTCCCAAGTAGTTCTGTGAATCTGTCCAGGTGAGCAATGCTGCGTCGTAGAAAGCGTCAGCTTGTGCAAACAAGTGTGTGCGCTCAAGAACAGAGAGCCGGGTAGGAGACGGGCATGCCTGGACAGGGTAGGCTCACCTCAGACAGTGCCGGGTCAGCCGCAGGCCGCTGTAGCATGAAATTCCTGGTATCTCAGTGAGTTATTAAAATTACATTGACTCCAAGCCACAGTCTGTTAAGTACAGAATGGCATTACCACTAGACAATGGAGAAACTTCAACCAAAACAAATAAATAAGTAAATATGGCTTTAAAAAAATAAAACAAAGCCAACCTACCCACTCAGCCTCTGGCCATAATGCAGGCTTCATGCCTCGCACCTGGTGGCCGGTTGATCAAGGCGGTGGGACTAAAGATCACAGCAGCTAATGCAGCTTTTTCTGATCAAATGACTGTGACGTTTGGCTCATTGGCTGACCCTCCCCCCTTTTCACAGAAGGTCACTTGGTAGCATGGAGATTCTGCCTGATGGTGATTTTACCCACAGTAGAACTTCTCTCGAAACTAAAGTCAATCCCCCTAAACACCACCAGTTCTTTTGAGATTTTTATATGGATATATGCAGTACATCTGCGAAGAGATTAAGCAGGGAGTGTAAGCCCACCAGTGGGGCAGTCAGGACACACACAATATGTATCTGTTAAGTTCACTGTATTATATGTGCCCAGTCCCAATCATATTCCATCACTTAATAGCAATTTAAAAGTTTGAAACAGTGTAAGAATAACCAGAACGGGGCACAGAGGCACAAAGGCACATACAATTGGGAAAACAATGAACTGGCCTTTTGGCTGGAGAGATAGCTCAGTGGTTAAGAGCACTGGTTGCTCTTCCAGAGGTCCTGAGTTCAATTCCCATGGTGGCTCACAACCATCTGTAATGAGATCTGGTGCCCTCTTCTGGCCTGCAGACATACATGCAGGCAGAACTCTGTATATATAATAAATAAGTAAATCTTTGGGGGCGGGGAAGAGCGAGAAAAGACAGCTGGCTGTGCTCATTTAGTCCCAGCACTCAGGAGGCAGAGGCAGGAGGTAGAGGCGGGTGGATCTCTGTAAGTTCAAGACCAGCCTGGTCTACAAGAGCTAGTTCCAGGACAGCCTCCAAAGCCAAAAAAACAAAACAAAATACTACAATCAAAGTAAAAAGAATCCCAATCAAACCAAAAGTGGTCAGCCTGAGCACCCCAGATGCTGCCACCTTTGAGAGCTAGAAATGCTACATGAAAACTTGACACACCCACGCACCCATGTAAACCTGAGGCTGGAGACTGCCCAAGCAGAGGCAAGAAACAGCTGCCCCAGCCTCTGCTGTACACTCCAACAGCAGGAGCTGGGCACCGGCTCTTCAGCAGACACAGCTCTCTCAAACTGGAGCCTTGTTACCTAGAACTAGCGTTCTTCCCTGTCTTCATATTCCAAGAGATTGAACCTTGGGTGACCTGTTTGTAACTGATCAGAGTGACACATATGCATTCACATTTATTTTTTCCCTGATGTGGTCTCATGTAGCCCAGGCTGGCCTCAAACTCATTGTGTAGCTGAGACAAACCTTGAACTTCTGATTCTGCTGTCTCTTCCCAAGTGATGGGATTGCTGGTGTGGGTCATACCTGGTAATATGCAGTGCTGTGGGTCAAACCCAAGTCTTCAGGCATGCTAAGCAAGCACTCTACCAAACACAGCTACATTCTCAATTTTTAATTCCCCAAGTAGACTTGGTCATCTGTCAGTCTTTGCTCCCAAAAGATAATTAGCCTTGAAGACATACTCAAACAGGACCGTGTCTGGACTTAGAGGATCCTATAAACATGCTAGACTTTCCAGAACCACACTGTCTAGTAGAACTGTCTGCCAGCACTGGATGTGTTCTGCACATCCCAAGGAGGATAGACACATATGGCTATTGAGCACTAACGGGACTGGTGTGGCCATTGAGCTAAGTATTAATTATCTGAGTTTAAGTAGTCATATATAGCTCATGGTTATCATCCTAGGTGGAGTCATGAAGGTCTAGAGAATTATGGCTATTCTAGAAGCACAGACCAGAGGTGACAGACCGCCCATCAGAATCAGCCCAGGATTCATTTCCAGTGTCTTTCCAGAGCTGTGTCCACTATTTCCTCTTCTCTCAAGTGGTCCCAGACTAGCCCCTCCAGGCCAGCTGTCTGGCTTGGGGTAGGCAGTTTAACCCTGTGCCGCCCTCTCTTTCCCAGAGCAGCACGCTGTCCAGGAGCTCACCAAGGCTGCTATGAGTGGAGTGAGCATCGATGGTGAAGTGCTGTCTTACCTGGAATTGGCACAGGTAGGTTTGTGGGCCCTCGAATGCCATCCCTAGTGTGTGTCCCACGTGCCCACTTTAATGCTGACATAAACACCCCGCTGTCACATCTGATGTGTGCCTTTGTACTGAAAAGATTAGAGAGTTTTACATTTTGCTCAGCATTCTACCTGCCAGTCTGTCTTTGAAAAAACAAGGACCCCTTCCCCTGCATACCAGTCTCACACGCCTGGGGCAGTGGCTTCACATACGAGAGAACCTCTGGCTTAGCAGGAAATGTTGCCTCTCTTCCTTCTTTGAGTTTTTGGACAAGTGTTTGGCCAAGAACAGTTTGTAGAATATTTCATAAAGCTTTGTAAGGCCCCCTGTAAATGAATGGTTTATTTAAGGTCCCCTGGGGTTTTCTAAGATCAGTTTTGTTAGTATTGGTGTCCATGATCCCTACACAAACATCTGTGCATGTATGTACACACACACACTCATTCACACACACACACACCTATTCCAGAGAAGGGTGAAATCCAAAAATGTTTAGGAACAAAGATAAGCTCTGCCTCAGTTTCCCCATCCATAAGACACAAGAATGGCAAAACTTGACCTCCCAACTTTACAGATTGAGATACAAGGGAGAAAGAATGTTCAAGAAAAAGCCTGGAGGATGGAAGTTCCCTAACACTGCAGAGTGTGTAGGCAGAATGATCTAGTCCCAGCATAGAGTTATCAACGGTAGTTTACACTCTAGTGGCAGGGGATGAGAAATAAGTCTGAATTCATTTATTTCCTTCTGTCTGTTTAGTTTGGCTTTGTTCTCTCTCACTTAGGACAGTGATAACTAAGTCTTAGGTCAGGCAGTTTAAGTGGACATTGCCCAATCACAGGAGAGGAGGTAGCCTTGGGAAGAGGACAGGGGAACTATAGCAGGTGTTGCTCAGCCCAGCCAAGTGTGGCTATAGGCAATGGCTCGGTTTAGAGAGAAGGTAGGACGGAACATGGAATAGCCAATTCCCTCTGACTTGACTAACATTTGTTGTGTGATTCCCAAGTCCCAGGCACTAACCTCGAGTGTAACCAAGCAGCAGATTCCCCACAGTCACAGGGACGTGAGAACAGATTCCTAAAACCCAACCTGAAAAGCCATCGGATGGAGACTGGAAGATAGGGTTAGATGTGCATAGCAGTAGAAGCTCTAAGGCCTCATCAGAACTAGTTGTCCAAAATTTGAAACTGGAGGTGTTTGGAGACAACCCCCTCCCTAATTTGAGGGATAATTTGTTTTAAGATTTATTTATTGTATGTATATAAGTGTTCTATCTGCATGTACACCTTTATACCAAAAGAGGGTATCAGATCCCATTGTAGGTGGTTGTAAGCTGCCATGTGATTGCTGGGAACTGAGCTCAGGTCCTCTGGAAGAGCAGCCAGTGCTCTTAACTGCTGAGCCATCTCTCCAGCCCCCAAGAGGGATAATTTGTGACTGGACTCTATCCATAAGTATCCTGCATAGAAGAAATTGAAATGATTCAAAATGTCCTACTGGACAATTCACTGGAAGTAAAGATGCAACCTTTTTGTCTTCCCCACTGCCTCCTCCCTGTCTTCGGGCACCCCCGTGACAGGCTGTGGTGTGATCACTACTAACCCTTGACAGACCCTGGCAGGAAGTTACCATGGTGTCTGTGTCTTAGCCCACACTGGCTAGCCTTCAACCCAAAGAGGGTTTTACACATAATGGACTCCTGATCTGTTGCCTTTGCTGATTTCCATGCTGCAAATCTCCCACTGTGGCCAGTCTCAACACCAAGACTGAGTCACTGAACCCAAATCAGAGGAGCAAGTCATGCAGCCAGTAAGTTCCCTGAGCTGATGAAAGCCCCCAACCCCTACCCAGTTCCCCACTGGCCCAAATTTATCTTCAGAGTTAAACTGAACATGAAGAAAAAGCTGGAGGGACCAGCCTCCAGTCACCTCCATGATTGGGGTTGTGGATTCTGTCTCCCTGGAAAGGCTCTTAAAGGACAAAGAGCCACGCCTTGGAAGAACCACACTGTCTGTCATTCTCAGGTTCCGCATTTAGCTGAAGAGACACACAGGATGGGTGAAAAGGGGCGGGGGGGGGGTCCTGCCAGGTCAGAAGAGATGGGGGAGTAGACCATCTAGTTTGGGGACATCAGGCAATGGCTTGGACCTCAGCTACCTCCTCTCCAGGCATCTGCCCCACCCACACGCCATCTGCTCTTACATAACCAGAGGGCAGGTACAGGACAGCGGTGGCACGCTGCCTTCTTGCCTTTCGATCTTTGGCCCCAGCCAGCCGAGTTCTGGCATGTGACACGGAGTATTCCATTGCTGGGGCTCCTTAAAGAGAGATGGCATCGTTCTGTCTGCTGCTGACTGGTGCCTTCCAGAGGGCATGCACGGCCACCTATCACCAGAGGGCCAGGGGACAGGCAGGGCAGGACAGCCAGGCATACTTCAAACTCTCGGTGTGATATGGTGTTTATTTTGGGGACCGTCTATCTCAGTAGGCAGTGAGAGAGGGTACATGAATACTACTTGGCTGACATCAGAGCCACAGTCAAAGTCAGAACCCTGAGGTCAAGGCAAGAACTTGTATCAGTTCTACAGACTTCTCTTCACTCCCTCTCCCACCCTCAGAATGGTTCTCGTTTCTTTGTAGACTTGCTTTGAATTTTTGTAACATTTATCGCACGTGTGTGTGTGTGTGTGTGTGTGTGTGTGTGTGTGTGCGCGCGCGCGCGAGAGCCACAGCATGCCTGTGGAGGTCAGAGGTATTGCCAGGGTCAGACCTGTCCGTCCTCCATGAAGTCCCAGAGTTCAAACTCAGGCGTCAGGCTTTGGCAGCAAGCACCTTCGCCTGCTAAGCCATGCCACTGGCCCATTGCCTTGCTTTAGCAAACAGAGCCTGACCCCACTCTGGTTCCCTTCCTGCAGTTTCACAATGCCAACCAGCTAGCTGCCTGGTGTTTACATCACATCTGCACCAACTACAACAGTGTCTGTTCCAAGTTCCGCAAGGAAATCAAATCTAAGTCAGCAGGTAAGAGTCAAGAGCATGCATGCGAGCTCCCTATCATCTGTCCCTTACCCTTTCTAAGCCCTTGGGAGGGACCAGACTCAGTGGGCACTGTGTGGTCAGTCCCTCTTGAGTGTGTGGTAGGTCACATATTCAAGTGACAAACGACCCAGAGAATTTTAGTTTGGGGGCTGTCTTTGCAGAGAATGTCTTACATGGAGAATGGGGGAGAGACTGGAATTAAGGGTGCCCTGTTGCAGAGCATGCTGAGGTAATTGGCAGTTGGCCTCCCCCCATTTACAAATGGGCAACCGGGGTCAAGCTGAAACTCTGGAGAAAGCCCAGTGGTTTGGGGGTCTCTGTGCCTCGCACAGATTCTGCATCTCAGGCTGTGATGTCACCATTCGCAGGCAGACCTACTTAAGGCTCCTGCCACATCTGGGTGATGGGAGGCTTTCGAGAAGCAGGTGACAGGACCGTCCGAGCATCCAGGTGGGCAGATGGGAGGCAGGAACCAACAGACAGACAGTGTCTTTGCTCCCCCACCCCCACAGACAACCAGGAGTACTTTGAGAGGCACCGCTGGCCCCCCGTGTGGTACCTGAAGGAGGAAGACCACTACCAGCGTGTGAAGAGGGAACGAGAGAAAGAGGACCTTGCGCTGAAGAAGCACTATTCCAGGAGAAAGTGGTGTTTCTGGCACTCGTCCCCAGCTGTCGCCTGAAGGGGAGAGAGGGGGGACGGCCATCGGGCCACCTCCACCACTGACAGCTCTACTGTAGAAACCAGTCTCCTTGGCCATGGGAGCAGTTAGGGTCTGGGGCACTGACTTTCCCACTTGCGTGCATTTATTATCTCCATCAGGGTCGAAGCACAAGCTCGCCATCCACACGAGCCTGGACATAAAAGGAAGCTGGCTGACTCTCCACCGCATTCCTTCAACCTATAACCTGTCCTCCTTTTGGGGCGGGGGTGGGAGAGGGGGGAGCTTAATACACTTTAGTCCATTATTTTGTTCCTTTTTATACAAAGGCAAGCAAATCCAGCTTTCATGTTTCAGATTCCAGATTGGAAAATATTTTTATACGGTCTCTTGTATTTCATTGAAATGACAATACTTGTGTAATACTTTATTTCATAGGCCACACATTGACCGTGACCTTGCGCTCCCCCCCGACCCCCCCCACCCCACCCCCGTTATTCTATCAGCCTCGAGTGACCACAGCACTACTCATAATTATAGAGTTACTCTTCTGTTATGAGATAAAGGGTTGGGCTGAAATCCACCCCCAAAGTACAAGCTGGAGGAAGTGTTTAATCTTTGTGCTGATGAACAACATTGTTATAATTACCTATTTACAAGATTTTTTTTCTATTTAAGTGCTAGTAATTATATGGTTATCTGTGCCAGATAACAATGGTGAGGGCAAATATCCTGCTGTTTGTCTAGATTCAAGAGGATAACCCTCATAATCACTAGAAGGGCTTATTAAATCTGGCTGGCGGACCCGGTTACCGACGACAGAGTTCGAGAGCTACTGTTGGATGACTGTGTCAGGGTTGGTGGCTCTCAGTGTTCTGTGACTTTGCTGTGCTAATTCCTGGCAAACCCTCCGGGAGCCTGAACAGAGATGAGCAAAGGGGGAAAAGGCTCATCATCCACCGTCTACAGGTCTGTCGCCTCGGCCCTCACACCCACGGCCAACTTCACTTTGTAAGACACGTATGTTTTTTAACTCTTCCCAGGGAAAATTCAGGTCACCCCTAAAGTAGGCCAAGGCAGACCACCTGCTCCTACAGCGGTCCCGCGGAGCCCGTGAAAGCATAGAGCTGGAGGCCGGGTCTTGCTTTCTCCAGCAGTGAAAGGAGCCGAATCCCAAGAGCCTAGGGAATGGTGCTATTGTGTGGGAGCTCTGACCCCATGCCCTTTGGGAAGCCCAGTGTTAGAACAGCAGGCGGAGAGCAGGGGAGCTCTCCAGAGGCGTCAACGTCATCGCCCCTCTGCAGATTACAATGTTACAGTACACACGTTCACTCACACGAGTGTGCACACACACACCCACACACACGTTCACTCACACGAGTGTGCACACACCCCCACCCACCATTAGAGCATCAAAGCGCCACACCTGCCACGGGATGTCGTGTGCTGGACACTGGGGCTCATCCTGTTGGGAGGTCACCTTACTGATGCTAAGGGCTATATTGACTTTGTTTTTTGCTTTCTAGTTTTTTTTTCTGAAGATGGGAAAGAGACTGTTAAGTCCAAACTCCAAATGCCATATGCGTTTGAAAAAGCTGTGTAGACCACAGGCAGGCATTTGTTTCTGGTATGCCACATACCAGATACTCGAGCTTAGAAAGACCCAGGAATGCACTGCCCTCTCATGGCAGAGAGGGAGTAGCGGAAGAGGGGGACTGATAAAGCCTTCCCCCCTTCACTGTGTTAATAGGGCAAGTGACTAATGGAAGGAGAGGGTAGGTAGAATGAGAATATATGTCAGGACTCGGGGAGAAATGGCATATAGCCACCTTAAAATCCTAGAGGTTGTGTTTTCAGTGAGTAGTCCTAGTTGAATTTAACAGCCAAAGCTCCATCTAATTCTACTCTTGCCAAAACATAACGGACGCATACATGAACACAGGGCATAAGCAATAATATCCACTCATGATCTTCACAGCTGCTGGAACCAAGTGGCTGGTTCATTTGGTTGACACGGAATAGCCTTTAACCATGGTGGTTTGTTTCATGTTTTTTATTTCAGAAAAAGCCAATAAAATTGTTTAGCTATAAAACAAATAAATAATGCCTCCAGTTTTGTATTTTGTGTTTTGTGTAAAATCCTCATGTGTCTTTTAATAGCTTTTTAAAAGGTAGCAACACCCAAAGGTGCTTCATCCTCGGAGCCTGTGTTGAACTAACCAAGCTTGAATGATTGTCATTTGTGTTTATTTTCAGTAGAGACCCCCATGCCGACATATAGATGAGGTATGTTGTCATTTGTGCTTATTTTCAGTAGAGATCCCCATGCCAACATATAGATGAGGTATGTGCCACTTTGCTCTTTCTCAGACAATACCATGTGTCACTTGGCATTGTGTCACCTTGGGAAGTGGAGATCATGACACTGGAAAATTCTGACAGCAACTAAATAAAAGGTGTGGATTGGTAGGCCCATGAGGAAGTCCTTCAGAAGCCAGTTCGAGAAGGATCCATCAATAGTGTCTTGATATAAGGCTACCGAAGCTTTGGAAAAGTAAGGTCTTTAATGAGACCTCAGAGTGGCTAAGTTCTTTGTAACTCCAGGAAAAGAGCTAACCCTTGTAAGAAACAGTCACAGGAGGCCACCAATGAGAAACGTCCACACCGTTACAAGGTCCCAACCATGGCACGTTGCACATAGGCACACCAGTGCAGTCAAAACCGTCACAGAGTTCTGCCAGGCTACCTGCATGGTTTTACATACACTAGATCTCAACATCCCTAGAGAAGCATCTTGGAGTTCACAGACCCTACTGGTCTAGAAGGAGCTTAAATATTCTGTGAACACTAGAATGCAAAAGCTCAACGATCCTAAAATTTCAAGTTGTACAAACTCAGTTTTCCTGTCTCTGACACTGGCTAAACAGAAGGAATTGTGCCAGTGGGAAAACCAGGCAAATGCCAAGTTTGGGAATTTTGGTAAGTGTAACGTTTCTGAGATGCATGCTTCTCTGTAACTCAAGACTCACAGCGGGCACGCCTTTAATCCCAGCACTCGGGAGGCAGAGGCAGGCGGATCTCTGTGAGTTCAAGGCCGGGCTGGACCGACAGCCTCCAAAACAATACAGAGAAACCCTGTCTCATAAAAACCAAATAAATAAATACATAAATAAAAGACTCCCAAGACTTTCCCTTGAATTACTTCTAGAATAGATACACATACATACACACACACACACATACCCACATACACACACACACACAGAGAGAGAGAGAGAGAGAGAGAGAGAGAGAGAGAGAGAGAGAGACAGAGACAGAGACAGAGAAGAGATAGAGATTCTGGTAGGCAAGAAACATTATCCCTTCTTTCTAAAAGAATTTCACTGTTGCCTAAAAGTCATTGTTGAGGTAAAAGTTCGCCATAAAGAATGCAATGTATTTGTTGTAACTTATAGTTGTCTATCAAAAAGCAACATCACAAAACAAAAGCAAAAGGCTAAAGGGGCAGGAGCCATTGACAAAAAGCATGGGAAGTTGAGCTAAGCACCTTAGGCCATGAATGTATTCTCTTCCAAAGTGCTAATTTATAAGCTGGCCACACATCTCAAAACTTCATTGATCTTTTTCAATGAAGGCTTCAGTGTTTGTTGCTACAACTGGCTATGGACGACAAAGTGGGAAACTTTCAAAGAACATGAGTTCATCTGGAACCTGAGAAGTCCAGGAGCATGTTGCCAGCATCTGCTAACATGGAGGGTCACCTGGCTGTGTCACAACATGCTAGAGAGCACTGTGAGTCCAGAGTCAACACATGTCAGATCAGGACTCTCTTCTTGTTGTGAAGCCTCCAGTCTCTTGGCAGGGACATGAAACTTGCAGCAGCCATGCTCCTCAGTACTTGGTGCAGTGTCTGTCTTAGTTAATGCAAGTTTTATCCTTCTCCCATAACTGAATGTTCAATCTCTGCCCTTAAAACATGCCAAGTGTCTTCCGCTACCGTGTGTTTCACACCACAAGCATCTTGCCAATGTGTTCCACGACAAATCCCATCTGTCATCTGTTTTGATGATTTTCTGGTTTGGAAACCCAGCCACATGGCAATACACGCAGTCCACCCTTTGCTTCCTGTTTCCCCCTAATATTCTCAGCACTTCTATTCTGCTGGTTCCTGTTGCCCTCACTCTGCATACATTTTCATGTGAAGCCAAGGTGACTGAATCTTGAGCAAGATAGTAACAATACACTACCCCATTCTCTTTCTATTTCATTGAGGTGTTTCTTTGCCATACCCAATTGGGTGGACCAATGCTGAACACACCCCCACTCTCCATCCCAATCCATTGGTGATGAGAATTGATGATCAATACACACACACACACATACACACATACACACACACACACACACACGCACGCACGCACGCACGCACGCACACACACACACTTCCCCTAACCTGATCTGTCCCTACAGTAAACCTTTTCCCCCATGCCTTAGGATAAAAATTCAAACAAGGATGAGGACTCCAGGACCCTCTCCAGACATAACGAATTCCAGCTTCCAAAGCAGATGGGCCTGCATGGAAATGCTGGCTTTGATGATGGAAGTCCTGGCCTACCGCTGCTCCAAGACAACATGATTCAGCAGAGCTGACAGACTCTGACCCAGCCAAGCCAACCAGGCGACAGCCTGTCCTCCGACCAGCAAAAGGAGAAACTAGGTTTAGCTTCCTGCCACCTGAGAAGCTTAAATAGGTTTTCCTGACAGTGCATATTACGAGCCATAATGAGAGTTATTTGGTCTTGTCTGGCCTTGCCTTTTTTTTTTTTAAGGTCATCTAACCCTCATGAAAGGCAAGAAATCAAGACAACTGCTTTCCCATAGTCCCTTGGATACTGGTTTCCTGGTTTTTAATCCATTCCCAATACACACAGGTATCAAAAACTCATCTTGCACATCATACATCTGCGAAATTACAATTTTTATTTGTCAATTATACCATGGGGCTCTGGAGAAAATAATTCCTGAGCGAATTTGTCCACATACACTGAAAACTGCCTTCTGGTTTTGTCTTTACACATAGCTCAAGAAAACATAACCTGCCACTATTGTAGATTGTTCACACTGCCTGGCCAACCCTCCACATTCTATCTTAAGAAAGAGCTTCTCTTTCTCCCTAGTGCTCTGTCCCAGGTGGCAAACACCACCACTTACACAGATGAGGGGTTTGGACCACTGATTGATCTATCAACCTTGCCCACTGAATGCTTCGACCCCTGAATGCTTTGATCCCCCTCCACACCACCACCAAGATTCCCCTTCACTTTAGAAACCCAAGGAATTTCTTTAGGTGGAAAAACAGCTGAAATATTTAATTCTTAGAATAAAGGACTTGCCAATGAGAAAGAAAGAGAGAGAGAGAGAGGAGGGGGAGGGAGGGAGAGAGGGAAGGAGAGGAGAAGAGAGGCAGGGAAGGTAGGAGGGGAGAGGAGGAAAGGGGAGGGAAAGGGGGGGGGGAGATTGCTATTCCATCTCCCAGGAATGCCATGCTGTTTGCATCTATTGCCCCTATTTTGCATATATTTACATTCATTTACATACAGAGCCAGGGTGTTTAGATTTCCAGTATGCTACTTCCAATATGCTTTCCTGATGCTCTTTCCATTTCACTCAAATGCTTCTTCCCTATACCCAACTGGGTGGACCAACACTGCACACCTTGGCACCACTCTACCAGAATCCAAAAGACAAGGACAGAGACATCCTAACTAGACATGATATCTGGAGTCATCCATGATTTGTTCTCGTTCTGTTCACAAGGCTTTTTCTTACATAGACCCAGAGATGAAGGTGGCTCACACGCAAACGATTTACTTAGGAAATGCCCTTAGAAGGTGAATAAAAGGGAGGAGGCAGGGAAGGATAAGAAGCCAAGCCCTCTTGGGTAGGAGAATTAGGACAGTGGCCCCAAGAGCACACGACAAATCCTGCAATGTGCCTTGGATGCAAACTCTTAAAAGTAAAGAAAGGAGCATGAGTCCCCCCACGCCACTACAGGAAGAGGTCTGAGAAACAGGAGCTTAAGCCAAGGACACCCAGGAGGGCTCAATCACCTCTATGTCATCATTTTTATTCTGAGATCTCCCAAGGTCCCCCCTAGACTATCTGATACACTTTGTCCCCTTTGAAACTTGTGTTGAAATTTGATGGTCATAGTGGCAGCATTTGGAAGTAAGGCCTTCTATAGGTCACACACAGAGTCTCCTTCCAAATGTGTTTCGATACAAAAATCAAACCTGTCCCTCAAATCTCATCTCCTCCCACACATGCTCCTTGACCCTCCACTTTTCCCTCTGATCACTGAAAATCACGAGGCTCTTCACAGCTGTAGCTTCCTACTTGGACCTGCCAGACCTCAGAATCATGAACCAAATAAACTTCTGTCTGTTTGTTTTGAATGGACCTAGGTACTTTGTCAAAGCCATGGAGCACAGTTGGAGGCAGAAGAGGCTGGGGAATAAGGATGGTTGAAGAAAACTCATCCCTTTTTGTTATCCAAAACTACCTCTCAGGTCAATTTGAGGAACATCAAAATATAAAAAGTTCATCTAAATGTTTCCAAGTCCCAGAACCTTAAACAGTCATTCTCCCAGCCCCAAACAAACAAGACTGTGTCTAAAAAGGCGCCATTGGCTTTGCCTGAACCCGTGTAAAAATCGTATCATAATAAATCACAATGACTGAGGCAAATTTCTGCCACACACAGCTTGTAAGACGATGACAATTTCTGAGAATGTCCAGAATAGTAATTCCAAGTCTCCCTCACTCCTGTCACCCTCTCCCACAAATGTACGGAACCAGTCCAGAAGATGATAAGGAACTAAACTTTGAGGTAAGCTTCAAATTGCTGTTTTTAGTCAGTCTAGGTGGCACATACTCAGGGGACTGAGGCTGTAGGACTGCCAAGAGTTTGAAGCCAATCTAAGCTGAGATCCCATTTCAACAAAGGAGGTAAAAAGAATTTAAATTGTATTTCTTCAAATGATTTTTATTAATTCTGTGGGAATTCCACACAGTGTGTCTTTATCATAATTCTCTACCTCC